TGTTCCTTTTATCTCTTGACTCTCTACTTTAGCATTCCTGTCCCCTATAATGAGAAGAACATCTTTCTTTGGTGTCAGTTTTAGAAGGTGTTGTAAATCTACATAGAATTGGTCAATTTCAGCCTCTTCAGCAGTGGTGGTCGGTGCAGAAACTTGGATTACTGTGATGTTGAAATGTCCGCCTTGGATTCGTTTTGAAATCATTCTAGCATTTTTGTGATTGTATCCCAGTAGAGCTTTACCCACTCTTTTGCTGACTATGAGGGCTACGCTATTTCTTCTATGGGATTCTTGCCCACAATAGTAGATATGATAATTGTCTGAATTGAATATGCCAATTCCCATCCATTTTAGTTGACTGACGCCCAGGATGTCAATGTTCATTGACCGCATCCAGCTTCCCAAGGTTCATAGATCTTACATTCCAGGTTCCTACGCAGTATTTTTCTTTGCAGCAGGCCTGTCTGCAGCTGAGCGTCCTTTCAGCTGTGGCCCAACCACTTCATTAGCTCTGGAGCTACTTGTCCTTGTCCTCCACTCTTCCTCAGTAGCATGTTGGATGCCTTCCGACCTGATGGGCCCATCTTCCAGCGTCATATCTTTTAGCCTTTTGTTTCTGTCCATGGAGTTTTCTTGGCAAAGACTTTCTGGAGTGGCTTGCCAGGTCCTACTCCAGGTGGATCGTGTTTAGTCAGAACTGTCCACTATGTTGCTAATAACAAACAAAATTATGAAGGTGATGCAATATTTATCTCAATAGAGCACACAGCTTGGAAGCATACTTTAAAAATATATAATTTGTTCCCATTACTTGTGATAGCATTTGGAAAGAACTCAATGCCATTAATTGTTACAATGTTTTAAAAGTATCTTGTATTATCTGTTGCATTGCTCATTGCTTTATTATTATTTTTACACTGAACTAAGTGAATAAAACTTTGAAAATACCTGTCAAAATGTCCCTATAATGGATGAAATATTCTTTAAAACAACTTTTAAAAGCAAGTGGAAAGTGCTACTGATTATACCAATAAAGTACCTTAGTTCCCTTAATTAAGTAAACTTTTGGAGTTTAGCATTTTTATATCTTTGTTTCCTTCTCAAATATTTCATTACAGATAATTAATTACCTGTGGATAGTTGCTTCCAAGCTGTTATATAGAGAAGTAGACATCACTTGCTTAGAAAGCCTGAAATAATTCATGACTCCCAATATAGCAGCAATATATAATAAATACACTCTATTGGGGTGTGTACAACACTATATAGAATTAGACTCAACATGGAAACAACTCAAAAAATTTGTCCTGAGATAGAATAAACTTCAGAAAATCTTAAGATGCTCATATCCAAAGATCAGTCCACATATGACAACAACTACACACGCAGAACTGTACAGTTAGCAGTAGGACGTGCAGGTGCACAAATGTATCTAATGCCAGTCCGGTTTCATTTATTAGAAATAATGGCTTTTCTAGCTCAATGCCTGCTGGCACCCAGAAAGGGCACATTCTGATTCAAAAGGGATTTGAAGTTGATAGCAGATGTTTGATTGTGTAGGATGAAGCTCAGAATATTAAAATCAGACAAACATACCTGACAGATTGCAGACTTGTTTGATAATCGTGTGATTACCTGGAAGAACAACAAATACAGGAAGTAGCAGATGCCAAAACTGTCCTAAGTAGTAGTTTCAAGTAGTATTTTTAGACCACGGGAAAGGGAATTTCACATCAAATGATTTCCATGCTCATTTGTTAAATTAATCAACCAGCTATTTTAGTAAAAATTCAGTTACTTTAAAATGCTATCTTAAATTTGACTAACACATTCTGTTCTAATATTAAGGCTTACAGTTTTCTGAAGGAGCTATTTCTGGTAAGATGCACAGATATACCATGCCATTAAAAATGACTTTTTACTGGTACAGTGTTAATCTTCACATGCCTAGATTATTAGTGCACAATGATCTTGTACTGGCAAAACAAATCAACATTCTATACGGCAATTCTAAAAATGGGTGCAGCCCAAACAAAATATCACAACTTTTGAAAGGGCTTCAGATCAGCTTGGAGAAGTTTGGGCAAAAGGTTTTTGAGTTACAATGGAATCTTGACTTACGGTCGGCTCCACCTACGTACTTTTCGACCTATGGACTTCTCCCGCCGCAAAGTTTAACTTTGACTTATGGCTGGAGAATCGACCTATGGACCAGAAGGGGGAGGCAGGGAAAGCGCGAAATTCAAATTTGGTGCTTTCCTCGCCTCCCCCTTCCAGTCCATAGGCTCTAGGTGGTGCCTCGGGATGCCTTCCAGGGCAGCTCCGCCACCATGGGAGGCATCTCGGAGGCCCCCACTGCCAATAGTGCTCCGGAGTCCGAGCATGGCTGGGATCAACCTGTGTGGCTCAACTCCCAGCACCGGTGGCGGCAGCAGGGGGGACCTCCGATTGCCTTCCAGAGAAGCCTTGGAAGGCATCCGGACATCCCCCGCCGCCACTGCTGGGAGCCTTCAGAGGTCTCAAAGGACTTTCCGCCCGACATTGGAGGAAGCCGTTTGAGACCTCCGAAAGCAAAAAGGCAGGGAGAAAGGGCTGGAAATTCAAATTTCCCACCCTTTCTCCCTGCCTTTTTGCCATTGGAGCTCTCAAAGGGCTTTCCACCCAACATTGGAGGAAGAGAGCATTGAAGGTGCTGATCACGGCAGCAGGGACCCCCAGGGAGGTCTCCCACGGTGGCGGGGACGACC